TACTGCAAAAATATACAGGTGTTTCCCAGTAAAAGCTGCGTTTTAACATAGTAGCCTTATCCTTCATTCCCTTTACCCAACCTGCATGGGTGCCTCCACAACTGACCACCCCCGGGCCCCAACACCTTTCCAACCGGCTCAGTAAATGAATTGTTGATGCACTGGCGGAACATAATTACTACAGTCTACCGTCCCATGGAAACAGTGTTCTTTGGTTGTCAGGTTCATTCCGTTTCATCCGAAAGGCAAAAACGATGATGGGTTGAGGTACCGCCTCCCATGTTTTGTCACCAAACAAAATCATTATCAATTGAATGAATCGCAAAGCTCTGAGTCACAGGGTACAACCGGTATTGGAAACTATTCGGATAAGTCATTTCGCGCGTTTCCAAGCAATCATGTGAAAATGAGATCCTACAAAAAATGCGCGGCTTTGAGTTAGGTAGCATTTTTTACGTCTCATCTATTGTTCACTAAGGTGAAATGTGAGGGAGGTTTCAGTATGAATGTCTCTGGGGAGTATTTGTGCGCAGTCCGCAGTTCAAAAGTTACGGATCGAGCACATCTGGCAGTTTTCACTAGATTGAAGCACATTGATATGGCCGTACAATAGGAGCATTCGGCTCATTTACAGTCCCCCTGCATTTCAGTACAAACCAACCGGTTGGTGCATCCTAACAGGGCTCCAACCTTTGTGGCATGCAGCACCTTAAAATTTTAGAGTACCAACAAGGATAAGAAAGACCTTAACGACTTTATCAAAGCATAATCGTAGTATGCGGCTTCCAAGAACTAAATTGCAAGTCATTCGGATCCATTTTTACCCAACCTGGATGCTCCACGATATTCTACAACACCACATATTATGAAGGCGTTTTCAGAATAGTGTGCTTCTGTACTTTTCGCAGTTAGGACAGGTATGCCGGTCTAGTGTTCCAAATTTTGCCGGGCAGATGTTGGTTTAAAGCAAATTTCCGTCACAACGTCTGGCATATCATTACAGTTGGTGGAACAAAAAAATACCGGGGAATAATGCTCTGAGAGACACGGTAAATATGAAGGAGAAATAGAGGCAAATCGAACCAGTTTTGACCCGGAAAGTCTAGTGTAAGTAGAATCTCGCGTCATGAGTTCTGTGCACATCTGATGTGTGTAGTAGTGAAACCTGAAAACCTCAAATAGAGGCATTTGCGTGATCCGAAAATATGGCGTTCTGGACCAGCTGGCCGGCTCCAGCTTGAGCTGAGCTGTTCACAGAAACGGACGTTTTTGTGACGCCGAGGTGGTCAGATGTGGCGCGATGTCGGTCGCAGGTAAGCGTTTCAGGGAGCTGCATCAGGATAAATTCCCTCACTTTGCATTGTGTATTGGTGAGGATAACGAGCCGACTACTCTCTGGTGGCGCGCGGTCACCGTACATTATTGCGGGTGTAAGAGTGACCTTTTTCCAGGTTACCGGGATTGAAGCCATGTTGACAGATTGCCTCGGTAACTTACAACTACCCGCAGGCTGGCGCGCCATTTGTCGTTCACTACGAGTAAAAATTATAATCTTGCCGTCAGCCTTGTGTCTGAATGGAACGGTAACACAGTGAAATTTTGCTTACTTCTACACTTAAGACATTAGTACGATGCTCGATAGCGTGCTAAACTTAATCCTACATTTTCTATTGGTGGGTTTTCATTAAATTTTCCGCACGTTGGCACAATATATCAAGAATGATCATACGACATCCACCGCATCCGAACGATTCTCTAAATTTCACTGATTTGTTTTGAACATCCATGTTTGTTAGAAATACATCTGGTATTTACGGTGCTTCACCTAGTTTGTCCGATGGGTGGCCCGTTCGTCAGAATCTATGTCGAAGCAATCTTCCTCACGAAGATTACACCCAATCAAGTTTACTAATGTCATATGCATTATTGCTGGAAGTCACTGATAGCACACTTCAGTAACAAGCTTGTGAACAAATGATTTGTAGGTACCTTGTTCAGTTTCTATACGAGATACAGGTCGTCTTCCAGTGATATATTATGTCTTCGGATTACCACACCAAACATTAGAGTCCCTTCCTCACCCTCTAGCGGGAGTGATGTTTCGGCTGAGGGCAGTTTGGTAAGTGTACACATCACAAGCTCTTTTTGCAGTTCCCGCCATTTCCTCGGCGGCGCTTCCAATTCTGTGAAGGTGATGGTGAGAAACGGTCTTCTTTTTCCATAAGCACAAAACACGTTTAATCCGTTGAATGATCGCTTTTGAGAATTTCGCATGTGCTTACGTTTCGGGAAAACCTCTTGGATTCGGACTCGTGCACAAGATTATAGGAGTTTTAGTTTGGTCAGTTTGCTCCGGAATTTCCGCGGAGTTAATACTTCCATAAGACCGCCTGAGCCTCTTAGCCCCCACGAATAGAGGTTGACTTGCGCTTGTCGAATTTTTTTATTTTTTGCTTGTCTTTCAAAATCACCAACAATTTCGACGGTGGAAATGCTGTTTCCTGTTTAACGCTTTTCCTGACCGTTCACAATATGGCAGCGGCAACGCCCTGTAGGCTTTTTGCTCTTCGCGCGCTCAATATCCAGGGAGCTGGCTCTGCGTCACACTTGCTTGAGTCAATAACCTGGTGTTTTTGAGTCCATCTTGGACATCTCTTTTGGTAGCAGTTTGCGATCTTTTACCACGTTTGTCGACAGTTGTGCGAGTCAAGACAAAATGTACCTGACGGCAGTGAAGTCGGCTCGGAGAGACTTTTGTATACAATGGTCAGTTTTAACCAATCAAAACAAAGTGAATATGTGAACGACAGCGTCTGCTTGGTTAACCAGAATGTGACTATCGTTTGGTCCGCGATAGATTCGTTCTTCAGACCCATGTGGAGCAATACATGTGTGGCCGCCCCACGTTCTGCCTCCAGTCGCTGAATTGCCGTATCATGATCGTAATTTTCCCAGGATTTAATTCGTTAAGTCTCATTATACTATCCTTTTGTGACTTTAAGACAAGAACAGAGTTGTTTCTGTATAACCGCGGGCACGTGGAGGTGAAGCCTTAGATGTCCAGTAAAAGATACCAGGTGTGGATAATGCCGCCCTGACGTGGCCATGAGGATGCTTGTCCCCGACCGCCCGCCAGTCTTCTGAGGAAATGGTTCCAAGCACTCTAGTCGTACCTCCTGGGCAAATTTTTGTGGAGCGGCTGTATTTCATTTTGTAGAATAGGTCATTACTGCTGTATTAGAATAGTTGGTGTGTTGTACAACGATTTTCTTCGTTCGTAGTGACAACGCACTTGTCTCGGTAGGCTAAATCCTCTG